TACTAGTGTTAATGAGAAATGGATTGCGAAGTCAAGTTCAAACAATGGGGTATGAGAATGTGAATGACTTTTGAAGAGATTTGAACAAGACAAGAAAACAAGAAAAGATTGAGAACGCAAGAACAATTTGCTCAGTGTCTGATAATGCCTGTCTCCATCCCTCACCCAACACAGCCACTATCGTCATGAGTCCCACCCCCAAATTCATCTGAAACCAAATAAGATCTTGTTCTCACTTTATAAAAGGGGTGGGTACTAATTTGCACCATTTAATAAAAAATATATATTTTTCTTTATTGGTAATGTGAATGATAGACTCTTGGACAAATTCATGAAAGTTTATTAGTTTAATAGTTGCCAAAAAATAAATAAATAATAATTACATTTAGTATCTCTTATGTTCACCTCTACTTGGAGTTCTTACGTACTTCAGGCTTCAAAAATTTGGCATAACAATCTACATCCTTCCGCTGGTTTAAACACATCAGCTATTGTTAGAGACTTTATTTGTTTTATACTAATTGTTGCATTTTTTTATTTTAATATATATAAAAAATTGAACGTCAAAAAAGCTTCTATTTTATTCTTTGACACGTAAACAAATCAAGTTTTTTTTTTTTTTTTTTAAATAACTTTTCACATTATATTTATAGCTTTACAAAAGCTGCAAAATAAACAATTAATTCAATTAAATTAAGAAATTTTGCATTAAAGATGTCTTTATCCTATTCTAATATTCTTTAACTTGGAAGTAAATAAAGTGGAGGGGTCATCCACGGGTCAAGTCAATATTGAGTTAGCATTATCTTCCCTTTTTATCAACCAAGAGTTTTATATTAATTGAGTCAATACAATTTGGTTTTCTGTGTGTGTTTGTAATTGGGCTGAATTAATAAAAGTATAAATAGGTTTGTGGAAAAGAACAGACAGGACTGAGTGTTGTTGTATTGTATGAGTTCAAGAAAAGAAGTGAGAAAGAGAGAAATACTTTGAAAAAGATTAACAAGTTTCAACTTCAATTCCCATTGCTGTATAGTAGTCATCAAATATCTTTGAGGTAAACTTACTAGCATTGTTTAAACAGATTACTTTAACTAGGCAATTTGGAAAGTGTGCCCCTAATCTGATAATTTGCGCCAACAATCTAGCAAAGACAATATTACGGGTAGATAGTAGACAAGCATATGGCCATCGTGCTGATATGTCAATCAGTACCATAAAGTAGTGGAAAAGTCCACTTGGTGGATGAATAGGTCCACATATATCCCAATGGATTCTTTACAAAAATGATGGGAGTTCTAGACCAACTTTAGTGATGGACGGCTTAAGTGCCAATTTGCCTTGTGAACAAGCAATACAAGCACTCTTATAGGTGACAGAATCTTTAGGTTCTTTAATGGGTGCCCATGTGAGTTTTTTATGATTCTACACATCATAGTGGATCCTGGGTGACCAAGACGGTCGTGCCAAATCTTAAAAAGTTTAAGATCAGTGAACTTCTGGTTCATAACTGCATAGACTTCAACATTCTTCAGGAATGTGTAATATAACCCTGATGAGAAAGTAGGGAGTTTCTCCACTACATGCTTCTAGCATGAATTCTTAGCAGTGATGCATAGAAAGTCTCCGTTCTTTTCACTTAAAGTTTCAATGAGGTTTTCATTAAGTCGTATAGCTTTGAAATTAAGCAAATTTCTTCTAGATTTGCTAGAATATAAAACATCATGGATACTTAATTTATTTCTGTTTGGTAACAAGAGTGTTGCTCTTCTAGAGCTCTCAATTATGTTTGCTATGATATTTATTTTAGCCTCAGTAAATGTCAAACTTGAATAAAATTTTCTATCCCGAAAATGGTGTGCGTTGTTGCACTATCTACTATATAAATGTCTCAACCATTACTGGATATCAATGTCTTAATTTCAAAGTCCATCTTTAAAAAAAAAAATTTACACTAATAAGGATGTTTACAGAACTTCATCTTCATGATATGGAACTTTAGGTCCATTTTTTTGTCTTTGTTTTACAAACTTTATGTTAGTAATTAGTATTTATAACTTCAAGTTTTAAAACGATAATTATTTGCAGGGGCGGAGGGATGGGGGGTCAAGGAGGGTCAACTGACCCTCCTTGACTTTGCAAAATGATCAAATATATATATGAAATTAACTTTCAAATTCATCAAATATATCAAATTAAATTCTTCCTTTTTACAAAAAAAAAATCCCGCAAATACATTTGATAAATTATATATGAATTATATATATATAAAGAACAAAATGAAGAAAGTTTATATCTTTTCATATATTTTATAAAATAAATATCATTTCTAAAATTTGTTTGTCAAATTAAATTACTGTCAGTTGTTTTGTGTTTCAGTACTTCTATATATATATAAGGGCTAGCTTAATTACAACCCACCGCCATGACCCCCCACTTAAATTTTGGATGCTCAGATGGAGAATCAAACTTGAGGTCGTACGCCTATCCACACTATCCTTAATTCGTTCTAACCATCTAGACTATCCATAGATGGATCATATCAAAATATTGAAGTTAGGAAAAGAAAATAAATATAAAAAATATGTATTTTGATGCATTATTTTAAGGGGTCGAAATATAAAAGTGAAATTACAACAAAAGTTATAATATTTTACTATAAAATCTAGATAAATCTTTGAATATTTTATTAGTAGAAATTTTATTGTAGTTTAATTTAGAGGTGTTGTTATTTGTATTGGCTTAATAATTTGTTAATTAGTAAATTTTCTTGGTTTTGTTTTTACACTTGTTAAAGTATTATAAATTTATTTCATATCATCGAACACAATCATAAATATATTAATTATAAATAAATACTCATATTTTTGTATAACTTATACCCAATATATTATTTATTATAAGTTTATTTACAATTGTGCTATTAAGTTTAATTAACGTTTTGACCCCCGCAGAATAAGTTTTTGGCTACGCCCCTGTTTATTTGCTACAAGTTCATATATCTAATATAAGATGGAAGTACAATTACTAATGTTGGTTATTGATAATATAATAAAAGCAGATCTAGCTATAAAGGCTGTATTCAACAATAATAAATAGATCTGATTATAGATGCGGATTATAGATCCACCCATAAAGACGGAATTTAACAATAATAAGTAGGTCTGACCATAAAGACATAATTTAAAAATAATAAATAAATCTAGCCATAAAGGTGGAAACAGAGATTAAAGAACATATGTAGGGAGAGTAGAAGGCAGCTAGTGGGGCTCTCATTTTAGTATAAAATAATAATTTATTCTTAATTTTTTTAATACTTTTTTTCTCATTACTACGATATAAAATTTCATTTTGAATCTAGATTTTTAACAAAACACTTACGGTGAGAACTAATAATTGATATATTTGAGACAAGCTTTTTGAGAAAAACAAAATAAGTAATATTTTGATAGAGTTTTATCGGTTATATGAGTGATGTGATTTTATTTCTTAAATTTTCAAATATGTTTTCAAACAAACATGTTCAACATGTTTTTATTTTTCAATCATTTTTAATATTTAAAAAAAATAGAAAATAGAAATATAAAATTCATAAAAAAAACCTTATATTTTCAATTATTGTTTAAAATAATGAACGGTTACATTAACAAAAGAAGCCATCAAATCCGTTAAATGTACTGAAGTCATTAATGGAATATGGACGTCATTTTAAGTCCGCTGGTGATAATAAGTAAACTGGTGTCGTTTCGATATGCAAGACATGAAGTAGCGTTTGCAGCGCCTTCGGTCCAGTAAAATTAGAAAATGTTACTGCAGTCCTTGTCAGTTCAGCATGGGCAGAACCATGAGTGGACTAGCCCGGCCATGCTTTTGAAAAGATTTTCAATAGTATTACTGCAGATACCCTATAAAATTATAATTAAATAAATCACAATATAACCCAACATATTCTAAAATCACAATCAACCCTTTAGGCTGTGTTTGTTTCAGTTTTGGGAATACTACTTTTAGTATTTCCAAAAAAGTTAAACAGTAAAATACCCAAAAACTCTAGATTTTTGGGAATACTACTCCCAATATTATTCAACTTTTTTAAACCCCTTAAATTTGATAATTTAATTAAATACCCCTAAATATTTTTTTTAAAATTACAAAAACACCTCAATAATCCACATTTACCAGATTCCGGCCACCACCACCGGAAAATGGCCGGAATCTGGTAGGATGGCGCACTACCGGCTGAATCTGGCCGGTAGTGCACCGATCTGGCCTTTTCTGGCCAGATCCACCGTGGATCTGGCCAGAAAAGGCCAGATCTAAGGCCAAAGATCTGGCCGTAACAATCGGTGGTCAACGACGACCGTTTGTTTGGCCGTCGTTGAGAGCATCTACGGCCAGATCTGGCGGTTGACGGCCAGATCTGGCGGTTGACGGCCAGATCTGGCGGTTGACGGCCAGATCTGGCCATAGATCTGGCCTTTGCCGGAAAAGGCCATATCGGCGCATGACCGGCAAGATCCAGCCGGTCATGAGCCCATAAGACGATTCCGGCCACCTCCAGTGGTGGTGGCCGACTGGGGGTGTTTGAGGGTGGGTTAGGGGTATTTTTGTTAACTTTTAATGTTTTATTACATAATTAGTAGTGTGAACAGGTAGTGGGATCGAGCTCTAACTGTTATCTCCTGATGCAGAGAACAGAAAGGGTGGGCGGCTATTATAANTAGTTTTTTAATTTTTATAATTAAGAAAAGTAACAACCTGTCACCTTTACTTTATATATGAGTTTAATAGTCATATATTACAGCAGTCCTTGTCAATTCAAAGATGGGAGTAGTTGCAGACTTGTAGTCAAACGAACCATGCATTAGAATCTGATTATGGTCTTCCAGTCTTCCTTGCAACAATTAATTCATTATGCAACTTCTTATCATCACTATAAATTCTCATCAATCCATCAACATACCTCACTCACTTAATACAACCTACCATTTCGCTTATCAATGGAGAACATCAAGTGCATCTATTATGTTGCAGTGTTGTTTGTTCACCATTTCATGTCTAGCTTAGCTATGCCTGCCAAAAACTTAACCACAGATCAATCTGCTCTTCTTCAATTCAAAACACATATCACTTCCGATCCTTACCGTCTGTTGGCGGATAATTGGTCCATTTCTAATCCAGTCTGCCGATGGGTTGGAATTTCTTGTGATGCTCGCCATGGAAGAGTCAAAACCTTGAATCTTTCATCAATGGAGCTTGGAGGCACCATTCCTCCGCACCTAGGTAATCTCTCATTCCTAGTGAATCTTGACCTTGGTGACAATAATTTCCATGGCCATCTGCCCAATGAACTGGGACAATTACGCCGATTGAGAGGCTTTTCTATCGGCAACAACAAAATAAGTGGAGTTGTTCCAACATGGATCGATAGCTTATCTAAAATCCACTTTTTGTATCTTTATAATAACAGTTTCACCAGTACCATCTCGCATTCTCTCTTCAATTTAACAACACTAGAGGTCTTGAGTCTACGAGGCAATAATATTGAAGGAAGCATATCGTCAGAGATTGGGAAGCTCACCAATTTGAAAATTTTCGACATGGCAAGAAACCACCTTTCAGGCACCATGCCTTGGAGTAGCATGGGCAACATTTCCTCATTACATAGTCTTAGTTTAACCAACAATAGCTTGTTTGGCAGTCTACCCAATGATATTTGCAATCGTCTTCCAAACCTTGAATTTCTTTCTTTATCCATCAATGGACTTTCTGGTCAGCTTCCGGCGAGTTTATGTGATTGCAGCAAGCTTCATACATTGTCATTGTCGTATAATAAATTCACAGGACACATACCAAATGCTATTGGAAATTTGAGTAAGCTTATCCATTTATTTCTTAGTGACAACAACCTAGCAGGTACATGATTCCACTTTGGTATTTTTGAAGCATATAGCTGGTGTGTGTATGAATGTCCATTAACATATATATAATATTTTGTACTATAATATTTTCTTCAACTGGTATGTTATACTTTAAAAAAAAAAAATTTACAACTTGAAAATATAAAACATGCAAGCTTTTTATATTATACTTTCTTCAATACATATATTAATAATCTTATAAAAGCAATAGGTCTGTGAAATCCAATCAGTTTGGTACCTTAAGAAAGGGTTGTGATAGAAATTAAGTTATACAATGTCGCTTTTCATATTTAATTTCTTGTACTGTAAAAGTTGACCAAAAGCTCTAAGTTTTAAGCACCAACGTTTGTCCTCTGCCTCTGGCAGGTGAAATTCCACAGGAGATTGATAACTTGCAAAGTCTACAGTTTCTAGCTCTGGGTTCCAATAGTTTAACTGGTAATATTCTTCTCTCAGAATTTAATATTTCAGTCATTACTTTATTTATAGTTAATATTATATAAAATGACACATCATCTGAAATGTCAAATTTGTTATAAGTTTTGGAAAAAATAATATAATTATTTTAACAGATATATATTTAAAAAATAACCTTAGCTTGGAATATTGTGGTAAAAAAAACTGTATATATGCAGAAAACTTACTATAGACTATGAATATCTAAGTGTGTGAATTTACAGCTGGTCTCCTCCCGTCAAGCATCTTCAATATTTCTTCCTTGGAGTTAATTTATCTTGCCAACAGTGGCCTATTCGGTAGTCTCCCAGCGGATATCTGTAATCATCTTCCAGCACTCCAGTACCTTTATCTTTCTCGTAATGTGATCAGCGGCACTATTCCAAAGACTATCAACAACTGTACTGCTCTAGAAATTTTTGATTTGAACGAAAATCGCCTGACAGGTACTATCTTGGCTTCTATTTATGTATTTTAGGTATTAATCATGTTTCTTAACCAAATATTTATTTTTATTTTGTAACTGAATCTCGTGAACTCCTTTAAGGTATCCCAAAAGCTGAAGGCTTTATGCATCAATGTTTGCATTTTGGCAGGTGAAATTCCAGACGAGATTGGGAATTTGCAGAGTCTACAATACTTGCTCCTAGGTTCCAATGGCTTAACTGGTATAATTCCAGCATCAATCTTCAATATTTCAACCATAGCAGAAATTGAACTAGAACAGAATAACCTTTCGGGCTGTCTACCATCAAGCTTTGGCCAATGGCTTCCGAATCTCGTGCGTCTTACCACAGGAGGAAATAAACTTACTGGAACAATCCCCAACTCCATCTCCAATGCTTCCAAACTCACTTTCCTAGATCTGAGCGGAAACTCATTTTCTGGCCTTTTTCCAAATACATTTGGCAACTTGAGACTCCTTGAATATCTTGGCCTTGCGGAAAATAACTTGACCACAGAATCTCCTAATGCAGAATGGAGCTTTCTCTCTTCTTTGACAAATTGCAGAGAATTAGAAAATCTTTACTTAGATTCTAATCCATTGTATGGTGTCCTTCCCCTTTCAATTGGGAATATATCTGCAAATCTTCAATATTTTAGAGCAAGCAATTGCAAGATCAAGGGCAGCCTTCCTGCAGAAATTGGTAACTTACATAGCTTGTTGGTTTTAGACATTTCGAGGAATGACTTGAATGGATCTATTCCAACAACTGTGGGAAGATTACCCAACCTTCAAGGTCTAAGCCTAAGAAATAACAATTTGCAGGGATCCATTCCATATGAGCTTTGTAACTTAGAGAATTTCTACGAATTATACTTAAGTTCCAATAATCTCTCTGGACGCATACAACTGTGCTTGGTGAGATTGGTCTCTCTAAGATATCTTTACTTAGACTCCAACAAATTGACTTTTGATATACCGTCGTCCTTATGGAGTCTTAAGGACATCTTGGAAGTAAATCTGTCATCAAATTCTCTAAGTGGTTCCCTCTCTTCAAACCTACAAAATTTACATGTCAGAGTTCTAGATTTATCAAAGAATCAATTATCAGGTAGTATTCCTGTCACTCTCGGGCACATTGAAACTCTAGAAACTCTATCTTTGGCTGACAATAAATTTGAAGGGCATATCCCTACCACATTTGGCACTTTGATAAGCTTGGTATCACTAGATCTGTCAAACAATAGTCTGTCGGGTGAAATTCCTAAGTCATTAGAGTTGCTTTCATTTCTCAAAAACTTCAATGTGTCTCTTAATAGGTTAGAAGGAGAAATTCCCACCAAAGGACCTTTCAGAAACATTTCAGCTCAATCATTTTTGTTAAATCATGCATTATGTGGATCACCAAATCTAGGCGTACCTCTGTGCAAGGGTGGCACCATCAAACGATCAAAGACAACCACTACACTTGTATTGAAATATATTTTGCCTCCGATCTTATCAATTTTATTGATAGTGATTGTCATCATTGTCTTCATAAGGTGTCCGTACAGAAGAAAAAATTCTCCAATTGATGAAGTTGATTTATTACCTTTAGCAGAATGGAGAAGAATATCATATCTAGAAATTCAACAAGCAACTGATGATTTTAGCGAGTGCAACTTGCTTGGTATAGGTAGTTTTGGCTCAGTATTTAAAGGGATACTTTCAGATGGGAGTAATGTTGCGATAAAGGTTTTTAATTTACAAGTAGAGCGTGTATTTAGAAGCTTTGACACTGAATGTGAAGTGTTGCGCAACATTCGTCATCGGAATCTCATAAAAATCTTGAGCAGTTGTAGTAATATTGATTTTAAGGCCTTGATACTTGAATTTATGCCAAATGGTAGCCTTGAGAAGTGGTTGTATTTTCACAACTATTTTCTAGATTTGCTGCAAAGGTTGAATATAATGATAGATGTTGCATCCGCTCTTGAGTACCTCCATCACGGTTATTCAACACCTATCGTCCACTGTGATTTGAAGCCCAACAATATCCTACTAGATGAAGATATGGTTGCACATGTGAGTGATTTTGGTATTGCAAAACTCTTGAATGATGGAGATTCTAAGACACAAACCACAACACTAGCCACTATTGGGTATATGGCACCAGGTGATGTTTCAACTCTAAATCTCAATTTTATATTTTAACCGTTGACATTTAATATCCAACCACACACATACAACATATGGTCTATTATTAATTAGAATATTATATACCGATCATTTATTTTTTTGATGAAATTAAATTTAAATTTTGTAGAGTACGGATCAATGGGGATTGCTTCCACAAGAGGTGATGTCTACAGCTTTGGTGTTTTATTGATGGAAACTTTCACAAGAAAGAAGCCTACAGATGAGATGCTTGCTAGAGAAATGAGTTTAAAGAATTTGGTAAAGTCTTCATTGCCTCATGCAGTGACTGAAGTTGTGGATGCTAATTTGTTAAGTGACCAGAATCGTTTTGATGCCAAAGTGAATTGCATGTTAAGTATCATGGATTTGGCTTTGAATTGTTCAATGGAGTCACCTGAACAGAGGATCAATATGAAAGATGTATTAGCAAAACTCAAGAAGATCAAATTGCAGTTTCATAAAGATGTTGGGGCACCTAATTAAATAATGTGGTATTGTTGTGTTTGTTATTTATGAATTTAATTTCTTGTTTAAGATCATTCTAATTAGTAGTTGTCTAGTCAAACATTGAATAATGGATTTTGAGATAGCTTCAATTTCTAGTATGTGTAATGGAGAAGTGGGAAAATATTCAGTTTTATCTTTCCTGTAGATATGATATTAAAGAACTGCATGCTTGAATAAGAGTGCAGGAAAAGTTGAAACAATTTCTGTAACCTCGAAATTTTTTTAGTTCTATCAATAACTTTTATTTTTGGGGACGTTCACAAACCGGAAATAAAGCAATAAATAGATAAAATACTTGAAATAATCTATTGTTTTATGAGAATACTTTAATTGTTTTTTCTAGAATTTAGATGTGTGAATCTAATGTTTGGATGGAGAGAAAACAAAGAAAGAGAGAACTTCAAAGAATTCTAGAAAGATAATCGTATTTTTATTGGGCCTGCTTAGACGGACAAACTTATTCCTTCATTCTTCTTACTCTCTACTTCTTGGGCCTTTGTCTGGGCTTTTTTAGTACAGTTATCTAATTTCTAAGTGCACTCACCTCACCCGAGAATCATCCATCTCCTAAGTTTATTATTTTTGCATGAGCGGGCTTGAACCGAGTAAAAAATCAATTTACCCATAAAGTTTGGGGAATACTCCTTTTCCGGCAACTATGAAAAATTTGATTAAGTTACCCCCCATAATTTTAAAAACTAATTAAATAAGGACCAAGACACAAACGATGTCCCAATTTTGTTAAACAAACAAGGTGAAAACGGCGTTTTTCTTCCCTCATTCTTTAATTTTCTCTATTCTCTCCTCTTTCTTTCATTTTTTTCCTTTTTCCCAATCTTTTTCCTTCTTATCCTCTACCATTTTTTTCTTACATCTTGTTGATGCTTGATTTTGGCACCAACGACTCACACGTGCAAAGTGCTAAGCGGACTTAGAAATTACACGTGATATGAAAATGTGTAATGAGAGAATAAATGAGAAGCGGTTTTTAAAGTGGTTCGGATGCTCAAAAGAGAATTCTACGTCCACTATGGTTCTATTAATAGGTGGTTACAGTCAAGTCACTTATAGCGAGCTGAATTACAATTAAGAGAGAGTTTAAATACAGAGAGAGAGTGAGAGTGAGATGCTTTTGAAGACGAAAGAAGAGCCAATCTCGTAAACAAGAGAGGATCCCTCTATTTATAGTTGGGGGATTCAAGGTAGTAATCATGATGCGGTAGTTAGGCAGGTGTGGTACAATTCCTAACTCGCTTCCCATTGGTTGACTGTACGGGAGATATCCTTAAATTGCGTATGGTTTGGGTAGGTGGACAATTCCTAGCCACTCACAAGCTTGACATTCACCTACCTCACTGACGATGGCCTTACCTCTTCCGTCCTTATGCGACGTGGCAGCGTCTAGATGACTCAAAGCCTTCATGAACTCTAATTGGCCCTTGTTGGTGTGAGCTCATGTCAGCCTTGATTTTTTAGGCATAACAGAAGACCCCCCCCCCCCCCCCCTAGTTTTTAAGGTTTAAGGATTGAACCTTGAGAACTTTCATGATTATGTTGTGACTTGACTTATCCCAAATGACGCTTGATCAAGCTATAAGGAGGTCGCAGCATAGGTCTCTAAAAATAGCACAAGCGACTTGAGGTGGCCTTTTCTTACAAGTCCAACGACTTGGGTTAGACTCTACTCAGTGCTATACCAATATGCCTTGAGTTTCGTCCATGTCTCGCGACCTAAAAATACTTGCACATTTTAACCGCAAGCAAGGAATCACATCGTCTTGAAATCGGTACATGGCGAAGAATGTTTTACTTGAACGACTTCTTTAGATGTTATCCGTTGCGCTTAACAGCTAGTTTGGTCAATAAAATAATCTTTATTCTGACAGACGTGTCTATTGCGCAATAAGTGCGAGCCATGCGCATTAAATGCAAGCCATGCTAAAACGACATTCCTTTTCAGCGCATTAAATGCGGATGAGAGCGCATTTAATGTGAAGAGGTAACCGTGCCGACGCTTGGTTGCTCCAATAGAAGGAAACGTCGATTGACATCCACGAAGTGTGAAGGTTACTCTTCTTGCGGATTAACGACACGTGGTTGTAATCAATGGTGAGAAACATATCCCACCCAAGCGTCGCTTGCTTAGGGAAACCAATCATCTTTTTTCCCCCTATGAAACCCCAGGTTTGCCTCAAGTTTTATCACAAAACTCACATTTTCAGAGAGAAAAAACAATTCTTGCAAAATCAGTCTGCTCTTCTTCCAGTTGATGCGCACTTTTCGTTACGACAGAAAGTTCGTTCCCAGCAGTCAAAAGGTAAGAAGGGCTTCTTCTTCGTTTTCTTCTATTATTCTTGTTAATAGCTTGACTTTATGGTAATGGTGGGTATGACCTGCCTGGTAATCTTTCATGATGCGTATTTCTGGACAGCGGTAAGAAAAGAACCTTTTTTTTTTTTTTAAAAAAAAGTGAGAAGTTAGGGTGTAGATCCTTGGGGGTTCATTCCCAAGGGTTTTTAGGGTTTTTCTAGGGGTTAAGGAAGATAAATTAGGGTTTGTTTTGCTCTTCCATGTCATCGTACGGAACACTATATGGAGACTGAGTTATCTCTGCATGTCACCCCTTTTTCAGACTGTAGGAGCAATGGATAATCCGAGGGGATGAGCTCTTAGGCTCCCCGACAAGTCTCGTGCAAAATGCCTTATCAGTGGCCACCTGGGATGAGATACAGAAAGCGATGGACCAATTCAGGCATAGCGTGGATGTCTACCAGCATAGGACATACACAGCTCGGAATCCCCCAGAGGGAATGGCCATGATCTACGACGCGATCTTTAAATATGGGGCGTTGATACCTTTTCACCGATTCATTAAATCGATGCTTGACCACTTCGAGATTGTGCCATTACAACTGACGCCTAATGCGTATATGATATCAATTGCTATGTATATTGCATGCGGCGAAAATGGCCTTGGTGAGCTGACAACGCTGGAGCTCACACGCGCTTATTATCTGAAGAAGAGCAAAGATAAAGACTCTTTTTACCTCTCAAAGCGATCCACGATCGAGGGAGGCATATTTGGTTACCCCTGTAACGTCAGGACTTATGAGACCAATAGGTTTACCTTTCCTTTGATTCGCGAACTGTTCCGTTTTCTTCAGCTCTTGTATTCAACAAATTTTTTGTCTCTTTGCAGGAAATAAGACGACCAGATTGACAGCTCTAACAGATTTTAACAATTGTGACATTCAGTCGTCTACTTGAGCAAAGTCGTGATGCGAGACTACTCGGGACTACTGCCAACTTAAGAAAGTACGATTTTTTCAATCCAGAAGCATCTCTGGAATCCTTAGCCCAGAAGTATCTTCACACTTAGGACCCATTTCTTTTGCCTGAGGTGACCTTTTCGCTAACATGCTTTCATGGCATGTAGCGACCATGCTACCCAGGGTTCCAAGGCCGTCGACGAGGACTAGGAGGTTCGTATTCACCCGGGTTGCCCCGATTGAGCCAGTCGAGGCGATCCTTGGCAATATCCCCATAGGAGGGATATAAATTGGTGCCAAAAGGCGAACACCTTGGATGATAAAACATTGGTCTGACTGAGCTAACCTGTATAGCATAAGTAGAATATGTTTTGCAGCATTTATGAATTTCGTAAAAAGCTTCCGGAGGTAATTTCAGTTGTAGAAATCTGTTACTTTTATTATCCTTTTTTTTTTTTTTT